AAGGGGGAGAAAGAGAGAGAGAGAGAGAGAGAGAGAGAGAGAGAGAAGCTGAGGATATATATCCAGTTGGTAGAGTGCCTGTTTAGCATGCTCAAAGCTCAGGGTTCAATAACCAGCACTGTAGAACCTGGAATGTTGTCCTACACCTGTAAGACCAGCACTTGGGAGGTGGAAACAGGAGGATCAAAAATTCAAGGTCACAAATCAGTGATGGAAAACAACTTTAATCCCAGCACTCAGGAGACAGAAGCAGGCAGATCTCTGAGTTTGAGGCCAGCCTGGTCTATGAGTTCCAAGAGAGCCAGAGCTACACAGAGAAACCCTGTCTGGAAAAACTAAAAATAAATAAATAAATAAATAAATAAAGTCCCAGGTTATTTTTGGCTACCTAATGAGTTCAGTGCCAGCCAGGGCTATATAAGATCCTATCTCAGTAACAAAAACAACCAAACCAAATAATAATAATATAGTGGCTGCTTATGGAAATAATACTAGAACTTCAAAGGTTGAGAAAACTACAGTAAATTTCCAGACCAGCCTGGACTAGAACAAAACTAAAAACAAAAAAACATCATATTGCAGAGTTGGACATGATGGCACATGCCTGAGATCAAACACTCGGGAGGAGGGAGGAGGCCTGTGGACAATTCCAGGCCAGCCAGAGCCTGGAAGATGAAGAAGATGAAGGAGATGGAGGAGATGGAGGAGGAAGAGGAGGAGGAGGAGGAGAAGGAAGAAAGAAAGAAAGAAGAAAGGCTGGGGTGTAGTATGGTGGCACACACCTTTAATGCCAGCACTTTGGAGACAGAGAGAGGCAGGTAGATTTCTGTGAGTTCAAAGCCATCCCGGTCTAAGTAAAGAGTTCTAGGCCAGCCAGAGCTACACAGTGAGACTATCTCAAAAACAAAAATAGAAGAAAAGAAGGAAGGAAAGGAGAAAGAGAAAAGGAGGGAAAGAAAGAAGACAGGGACTGACCCCTGAGGGACTGCTGTCACCTCAGCCCAAGTGAGCTTCAGCACAGAGAAGACAATGGATATGCATGAGGTCATCTGCCTGCTGGGCACCAAGCAAGGGTTCAGTATCCACCACTGCATCCTCTCCTGGACAAATGAGGCATAATGGGATTAGCTCACAGAAGGTCACCTCTCCAGGGGTTTCTTTGTTGAGTGGTTTCCTTGTCTGACCATACAGCCCCACATCCACCTTGAACTTTCCCACTCCTCGTCTGTTTTCCAAGTGTGTACCACCATGCTTTATTGCAAACTGTACACTTTAAAAACTGGGAAGCGGGGGGCTGGAGGATGATGGCTCAGCAGTTAAGGGCACTGGCTGCTCTTCCAGAGGACCTGGGTTCAATTTCCAGCACCCACATGGCAGCTCACAACTGTCTGTAACTCCAAGATCTGACAGCCTCACACAGACATGCATACAGCAAAACACCAATGCACATAAAATAAATAAATTATTTATTTTAATAATTTATTTATTAATAAATAAGCGGGCACTTTCTGAAACAAGGTCTTAGTTACCCAGGCTGGCTTTGAATTTACTCTATAATCGAGGCTGGATTTGATCTGCCATTACCTTCCAATTGCATGCACCTGTTAGTTTTTTGTTTTGTTTTGTTTTGTTTTGTTTTGTTTTGACAGGCCCTGCTATGTAGCACTGGCCTATGAAGAGCCTCCATCTTGCAACAATCCTGCTGCCTGCTCCATTCAAATCCTGGGATTACAGGCATGCACCACCAAACTTCCTGTCCTTAAGGACAAAGACAAAGTCCTGTATGGCTGCATGTTAGAGGGATACACCACCTCCCTGTAACACCAACAACAGAAACAGGTCTTCATGTAATTGTACTATATTCCAGAACCAAACATACCTGAGATGTAATAAATCATCTCGTCTACACAACAACCTTACGGGAAGTATATTATTTTACCCATTCCCTTTGGGGGGGGGGTTCTCTCTGTAGCCTTGGCTGTCCTGGAACTCACTCTGTTGACAAGGCTGGCCCTGAACTACGAGATCCACCTGCCTCTGCCTTCTGAATGAGGGGATTAAAGGGGTTCACCACCACCTCCTGGCTATTTTGCCCCTTTTAATGGGGGCTGGGGTGCTAATACTCAGATTGAGTGACTAAGTAACCATTGAGAGGTCACACAGCTATCGAGTGATGGAGGCAGGCTGCAGTCCAGTCTAGCTCCTGAGCTCAAGCCCTTGCAGCAGGGGAGGGGGTCAGGAGGGAGAACAGGAGAGAGAGATGCTGGGGTTCAAAGCCGGGCAGTTGGTGCATGCTAGGCAGGTATGCTCTACCACTGAGCTACATCTCTAACCCCCGGGTTCCATTTACTTTAAAGTATTAGAGTTTGAAAACAAAAACAAGGAAGGTAGCTGCCAGGAAGAGGGAGATAGATTGAAGAAGAGAGAAAGTCATGCTTTTTTAGTCAGGACCAGCAACAGAGGAGATCTGTAGCATCTGTAGAAATGGAATGGGAGAAATCAGAGAAAAAAAAAAAAAGTGGGGGTTGGGGGGAATCCCAGAGCACCAGGACAAACATGCTTAGGAATTTGGAGAAGAGAATAAGGGGAAAGAAAAAGTTAAACACGCTTGAGTTAGGAAATGGGGGAGGCTTAGCAGTGGAGGTTGTCCCACCCCAGCTCTTGACCACCTCATCCACTTGTCTCTTGTGCTGTCCCATGAGTGTATATTGACTTATCCCTTGTTGGTCTCTTAACAGAGAAAGGAAGGGCGCCCAGAGACAGCTGAGTTCTAGAAGTGGCTTTGTCTTCAAGAGCCCCTCTGTCTGGGGTCTTCAGGGCTAAGGAGCTAGCCAGCTACATGAAGGACGGCTGCTGAAGGAGCACATTGCTCCTCCGAGAACTCCTGAGAGGTGCACCGGTGTGCTTCACCATCACTGCTCTTCGAAGGTAGAGCTAAGAAGACCAAGCAACAAAGCAAGGACTGGGGATGTACTCAGTGGGTAGAGTGTTTGATTTATATGATTGAAGCCCTAAATTCAATTCCCAACACTAGGTAAAAGGAAGAAATGATGGAGCAAACCCAGGTGCAGTGGCGCACTCGGTAATCTCGGCACTCAGGTGTACTGCACACGCTGGTAATCTCAGCACTCAGGTATACTGCACACACTGGTAATCTCAGCACTCAGGTATACTGGTTCACACTGGTAATCTCAGCACTCAGGAGGCAGAAGCAGGAAGATCCAAAGTACAAACCTACCCTGGGCTATGGGAGACGGAGACGCTTGTCTCAAAGAAAGAACAGATAAGAAGGCAGATGACCAGGGGAAGTAAATGGAAGCGCTTCAGGCCAGGTGCATCCAATTACAAAAAGTTACTCAATGAAATGGCAAATTAGTGGAGAGCTGGAATGAAAAGTCACAGGCCAGAGGCAAAGCCCCAAGGAAGAGGGACACCAAGCCTCCTTCCTCCTCCCACTCCCTCACCTCTTTATCATAGGAATGTCTCCATTTGAGACCCAGAAGGGGCAACCAGGTGACAGGCGAGGCCAATCATCTCACAGTTACTTCAGATCACTGAACTGACAAGGAGAGAACCAGGTATAGGCTAAGATGAAGGGACACCACCCCAAACAGGAAGGTGGACAAAGGCTGCACTCAGTTCAAACTCTGGGTGCACACCCATGACTCTGAGGAAAGACTGTCCTCTTCTGTCTGCTTCTCTTTTCCTCCAGTTGGGTAATAACAAAGGTCCTTACCCTAGAGGGGTTTTCTGAAGACCAAAGGGCTAAAAGTATCTTGCACACATCTGGGGCAAAGAGAACATGCAAAGACAGTAGTTTCTAAACTCACCATGGTGGTCCACATCTATAATCCTAGCACTCCTGAGTCTGAGGCAGAAGGATTGCTGTAGGTTCAAGGCCAGTCTGGGCTACCCTGTTCTCCTAATTCTTCAAAAAAAAAGTTGTTTCTGGCCGGGCGTTGGTGTCGCACGCTTTTAATCCAGCACTTGGGAGGCAGAGGCAGGCGGGTCTCTGTGAGTTTGAGGCCAGCCTGGTCTA